GTTTAGTAAACTCTGTATCCACCTTAATAATCTGGTCCGCGAGAACGCAAGAACAACAACAAGAACGCTTCCGTCAGATGTTATTCTCTCGTTACTGCTCCACCCCGGGGTAGGACCCCCCAAGGTCATCCCCGCCACTCCCTGGGGCGCCTCTGCCTCCGGGTCAACGTACAGCTTTCGAAAGCCCCTTCTCTCCCCTTCTCTTGTGCGCTCCCCCCAACCCCGGCCCGCAAGGTGCGACAGTAACACAGATCCCCGGCCCAGCAGCCCGGCGGTAGGCAGCACGCGGCGCGGCGAGGGTTCAGGGCAACCGGAGCCGGAGAGGCAACCGGAAGGGGGAGGGATACAGGAACTCATTTCCATTCCGCTATACTGCAGTGTGTGTGGCAAGACAGAGGCGAGAGGGAACATCCCCCGCACCGGTGTGGGAAGCGGGGGAAGAGGGTAGCGCAGAAATGTTCTTCAAAGACACAAAACTACACCGAAGGCACTAATTTTTTGTATCTTCAAAAAAGCAATGCTTTGCAGGAGGCATTTTACAGTGGAGTGCCGCCGTCAGGTCGGTGAGTGAAGCGGGCTGGAGGCACCGCAGCGCGCGCCGTGACGTCATGCACCGAGTGCAGGTGGGGCGGCCGAGCCGGGCAGCAGCGCCGACGGCCAGTGCACCAAATTGGCCCTTAAAGTAACGCGGCTGAACCGTAATGTTCCGTGTGCCGCCGCCAGCCGAATAGGTGGGAGGGATTGATAGGGAGGGGGAGGGGGTTGGTGTACGGAAAACCGAGGACACGAGATGTGGCTGCGAAACTATCAAAACAGAGTCATAATGTTATATTCGAAAACCGCACGTCGTCAGAATCTGCGTCTTTGGAAAGTAGAGGGATATGTCAGATTCGTGAGAGTGAGAGGGAAAAGAGGAGGGGGGTAGGGCAGACGGCAGGGGCAGGCCTCACGACCCAGTGGAGTCTAGGAGAAAAAGAAGGGGGATGGGCGGGAAGCGGGGGAGGGAAGG